GGGCCGAATGTCCTCTTGTTTGTAAATTTCTTATGTCATTAAACAAAATCTTGGCCTAGATTTGTAGCTTCTGGATCTGAAATTCCCAACACTGACTACAAAACCAGATGAATTACTTACAGTAGGATTTCCACACTGGTGGCCTGTATTCATCGTTATCTGAAAGAAACAAATAACAGTCACTAACTTGGGGCACAGTGAACTGCCATGCCTTCCATAGAGCAGCCCTTGGCTGTACCTTGTACCCTGGGCTGTCAGATAGACTCCAGGCCCCACAGGACTCCATACAGGCAAAGCAGTTGCAAAATAGATGGATGTAACTTTACATTATCAGTGTTATTCAGGGTCTCTACTGCAGTAACAGGCAAAATGGACTTTGCACAATGCCAACCTGTTCTGAAATAGAATATGCATTCATGTAATCTACCGAAGAATCTGTTTACTCAGAGCTCCAGACGTTACAAAGGGTCTGGCAAACGCAGCAGGCAGTGACTCAGTGCAGCATCTCGGAAAAACTTTGGCTGAGAAAGTTTTCAGCAGCGACATCCTGAGATCATCCATCAGCTGCCTGCTGACTGCCACACCAGAGATTTGTTCCCGTAGCAACGGCTCAAACAGAGGTTATTTGCTACACAATGAGGCTACAGTACAAGCACAAATGGCCCCTATATCAGACAGCCTAAATTTTATTTGCTACACAAGACTGACAGAATGTCCCAAGCAAAGTCATTCATCACAAGGACTTACAAGAATGATGGCTGGCATCAGAAACCAGCCTTGGGTTCTGAACTCTAGGAAATTCTACCTTGTTAGATAATGATTAACTTATTCTATACAAAAAATAAACAGTACAGAATGCAGTTCTCTTAAGCACAAAGCTACATGCTTAACAGTGGTAAATATGCCTACACCCTTCTTACCTACGCTATGCGAGTGTTGTTCCATTCCATGGCAGGCCACTGTGATATTTCTGAATTTATAGCTCCCTCTCGTGGACAGTACCTTCTATGACATCTTGAATTAATGTAATGAACATTTGGGGGTAAACGGAACAGGTTCATTAGCTCCATGAAACAACTAATGATCAGTGAAAGAAGGACAATGAACGGCAAGCTGAATTTGAAAAAGGAACACTCTGAGGTGTAGCATTTAGGCAACTAGCCGAAATTAATATCACATTATAAAACAGCTACATTAACCTAAAGCCAAGTCATTCGACCTGAATCATATCTGCTGAATTGGCAGGTACACACTCTACCACAAGTAATAACATGACACAGCCAATATTGATTTCTCAACACCGCTAATAGCATGCCATTGTCACGCATCAAATATCTCTAATTCCCTCAAGACAGTTAAACTACCAGCTCATGAATTAGGAATTGAGCACACAGAAAAGCTAAATCACTCACCCTGAGTGAAATCAATGCAGACTGGCTACTTCTCTCCCCTGCCATAGAGGTGTTCAAACAGAACACATGCAGAATACAGAGTTTGCCCTTAACCACTTCCAGAAGGATTACAAAAAAAGAATCCACATATCAATTATAGTCGTTGATCATAAGGGGGCAGAAGTAGGTACGTCTGAAAGCAAAACATCCACCCAGATGACTGGAGGCGTCATTCTCTTAACAGTGACTTGCCACCTCGCTTCGCCCGAGATCAATGGGTAGAGCGACTTACGGAAATACCTCTAACCAGGCATTCCAGGAAAACACCCACAGCCCGGGAGAGGAAGCACGGTCAAAGCCAGTTCAAGGAACTTTCAGAAACGTGAATGAATGACTGTGGAATTCGACTAACGACTTTCCAGCAAGTTCACCAACACCGCCCCTTCCATTCACACACATCTTCCTATTAAGCTAATGTGGCACACATTTATGCAGCAACATATTACACCCGATTCTCTTCCTGCCTCCGATGGCCTGCTAATGACAACAGAACTTCATTATACAATGGTTACCTGAGCAACCACAGGATACCATTCATGATTCACAAGGCAAAGATTAAGAATTACACATAATCAGCTAAATTTTTAATCACTCCTTTAAAAACCCCTGCCTGATTGTTACAGTATATCTGTGTAACAAATGTTCTTTAACTGTGAAACAGACCATAATGGATTTGGGGCATAAATCAAGCTCATTTTCAGGTCCACTCATGCTTACTATTCTGCCCTACAAAAGCATAACACCTCTGCAGGCAAGGAAACTGAGAAAAGGGGCTTCAAGGTTTTCTGACCGTCGTCCCATAATTCTTTAAAACAGAGCATAGCTGAACTAAGAAATTCTGTCAAGAAATACAACACAACCCAAGAAAGTCGGCTTTGGTCATAACTTGATCTTAATAAAACACGCAGTTAGGGTGTTTTGCCTTAATACGGCAGTATTGCGACAAACCCAGACTTAGCCGTTTATCATTAAGTGGATAGACGCTCTCTGGCAAAAAAAATAACAGAGGTTGGACTTTGGTTGCTTAATGACCAGGGGTGAGTTTCCCGAAGCCTTCTTAACGCTACGTCGTTCGTTAGTTCTATCTTTTAACACAGAACTTAAGAACGACGTAGCGTTAAGAACGCTTCGGGAAAATCACCCCAAACCACCCAGGCGCCCTCCAAGCATTACGCACGGGAAAGCAGGAAGGAGGGCTGCCTGCTGCAAACATCTCGTGCCGTTTTCAGCATTTCCCATGTTTCCTGCCTTTTCCCCATCACAAGCGGGCATGGTTGCATCTTCTCTGGGACTGAACCATTTCCTGTCGCCATCCTACCTACCTACCACCCCCCTGCCCGCCTGCCCCTTCCCTCCGAAGCCAGCTGTTTGTTCTTCCGATAATTCAATCCTGGTGCCAAATATTACTGCAAAATGGCTGAGGTCCTCCACATTGTCTTAACCTGGTGGCTTAAAGGAAGAGAGAGTGCAGAGTGTCTTTGTGTCCCGAAGCCAAAAACAGGAAGGAAACTCTTTACGAAAGGACCCTGGATGGGAGGTACTGCTGGTGAGCTGCTCCTACACTATGCCTCACTGACAGTGGGGTCTTCCATGGCCCAAAACGTATCCCTTGCACTCCACAAAAGAAATTCCTGCTAAGGATCCCTATATTGTCCCCCCGCCCATTATTTTCTTTTTGTGCTTTTATCCGTGTATTCGGAAAGGCCAAATCTCCACACAAAAACCAGATTAGTCTTCTGGCAAGTTTCATTCAAAGGCCTTTACAAGGCCGTGAAAGACAAGACACCCAACTGAAAAGGCTCAAAGTCACCATATAAATTCATACGCATATAGAAATACACAAAATGTTAAACCCGTAGAACAAACATAACTTTAAAACATTATCATAAAATTTGGCAAATTAAGTGACATAATGTACAATCTTTTACAACGTAGTTACATAGCAAAGACTTCCAAACAAACCTTACAGTATATCAGAAAACTGTTGCTATCTTTCTCCATCTGTTGCTTAATTTCATCCATGAGGCCGTCTCTGTCCTGCTAGTCAGGTAAACGAGCCAACTTGCCTTCCCACGCATCCAGTCACCAAAAAAATGAAACGAAAAGGAAATACACCCTGAAATTTAGGGAAGTTGGTGAATGGAGCTCATTAGATACACAGGACAGGCGAGTGCACCAAACAGCTGCAAGTTGACGGAAGGGAACACGCGCACTACTTACCGAAAACATGTTGAGCCATTTTTTATCGGCGCGATCCCGGCGGACAAAACCCCCTCACGGAGGCTTTTCTGACTGCAAGTTACTGATCTGCTGTCCTTCTCAGCCCCGGTCTGTTTGGCGACAACAAGCGAGACAAGCGTGACAACAAAACGTCTGCTTACCGTGCGACATGTACCAGAACCAGAAGCACAACCAGCTAAAAACCCAAGACAGCCAGCTGTCATTCTTATAAATGAATTCCCGCTAAAACACGACCAGGCGAATGAGATGCAGTAACAAGCAGGTAAGTTTACACTTAGTTAACATATGTATGTTTTAAAAAGCACCAGCCCGTTCGTCGGATTCCTGAAAACGGAAATATGACGCGGTGAAGCAAACCTGTGAGAAATGAGGACAAATGACCGCGCAACAAGGCCAAAGACGACTATCGTCAGTTTGGAGGAATGTATGCAACAGTGAGGGAAGCGAGCGACTTACTCAGAGCGCATCCCTCCGAAATGAAGGCGCCATCTTGTGACACCACGTGACCGCCGGCAGCCTCTTTTCTTCTCGGGACTGCAGGCTCTCGAGAGCCGGTTACCATGGCGATGGCGGTTTTTTCTGTCTTTTTTGCGCCGGTGATGTTGACGGCTGTCCGGGATGAGACAGCAAATGAGCCGATGTTAAAATATGAGGCACAGTAACAGGTGCACGGACGTGTTTTGTTTTTAAATCATCTTATTTCGGCCGACCACAATAATGACAAACCTTGCATTTAAATGCAATTTCTGAAATGAATTTAAATGCATTTTTGCTGGCCAGAAAAGAAACTACGGAATGGTTTGGTCCTTGGAAGAGACACGCGCTCGTCGCGTGAAAAAATTTGTGAAAAAGAAAAGAGCCACAGCCAAACTATGTGAAAGTCACCATATGGCAATCTAATGTTTCCAATCATTAACTTGAAGTGCAGTAGGTCTGGACAGGTTGGATGTTAAATATGTTTCTGCAGCAGCTTGCCTCATGAGTCATTTAATGCACTGAGGGACCTCAAAGATTTGAATTTCCAAAAGTGCCAGACGGCTCTGTCAGGCTGTTGTCTGTTGGACTGTGGACTAAAAGACCAGGGGCTTAGTGCTGTTCTTTGTGGTTAAAAAAGAAGGGAAAAACAGTTTGCAGGTCTGAAAAGCTGCAAGTGTTGCACATCACACATATTTATATAATCATTTACACCTTCTTCGAAAACACAGTAAAAACCTTTCAAATAAATTCCCAAAATTGTCTCAGACTGATAAACCAGTTCATTGTTATATTTCGGGGACACGCCTTAGGGCATTTAAAGAAAGATCACCAGTATTATTTTTAGTGCCAAATGACTCTAACTTGAACTATTTGATATATTATTGAAACTAAAGCAATGGACATTTAATTTAAGCTATATTATAAAATATATTCAGCCACAAGACATAATGTGCATTCATTATTTAGAGGAAAAGATCACCCTGAAACGAGTAATCCTTAATTACATACACAGACATTCCTGTGGTAAGATTTAGAAAATGAACAGTTGCTAGAAAATGGGCTGGAGGGTCTTGACCAACATGTATCGCCATTCTATTTAGTATCATTTGATATTCATATGCATTTGACAGGCGGCTTTATAAGGGCAGTTATTGGTGAACAAGCAGCCACCTTAAATGATGTGTGTCCAGATTAACGTGTGCATCTTGGGGGACCACATCTTGACACATTATACTGATGCGTGTAATCCAGTGCGTGTGTTTGGAAAGCATGATCTGATACAGACAATTCTCTTACAAACATCATAAGCCCCGTGTTTGTTGTTAGGAAGAAGGAAGAACAATTAGTTTCTATGTATATTGTCGCAGCAGATGCATTGACTATAAATGCCTTTTGGAATATATATATATATATATATATATCTCACAGGACAGCAAAATCATTAGCTGAGCTACAACAGGTGTATTAGCATACATCTGCCTATTACTGTTTAAGAAGCACATTTCCTGAAACGTCACTCCTCTTGACTGTATTGTGAACATAAGTCACGTTGTAGCTGAAGAGAAGGATTCACAGTGCATGCAAATTCCTTGGTGTACAGGATTTGTATATTTAGAGCAATTTTTTTAAATTCATCTGAAGGCATGAGTGAAAATGCAGAGTATACACAAACCACTGAGGACCTCAGTGTATTACCTGACCACACTGGTCGCACACTTGTTAGCATAAGAAGGCATCTTTGAGAACACAAGTCGCCCATGCTGATCACGGTATTAACATACATTAGTGGCAGAAGGCAAGTCTCTAAATATCCACAAGATGGCAGGGTTAGCCAGAGGGAAAAAAAACCCCACAAACGTGAAAACTGTAGCTCCTTTGTTTGTGCATTAGAGGAAAACAAAAATGAAAAATTATAGCAATTGAACAAAGGAAATGTAAGCAGAAAGAGCTAGTCCTGTTTTTTGGCAGCTTAAAAAAAAATGACAATGGACAGACCTAGACAAAAAATGTGAAAAACAAACCGATAGAAGAATTAGAGATTAAAACGCTTGAAGAGATACTAAAAGATTTATTACAACAATTTATTAATTTAAGGTACTTTATACATAACTTCCACCAACACAATAGTATCACACCCTTAATGCAATTAAACAATGAAAAAACATTTTACAGGGCCAGTCATGAACCTACGATCCACTGGCCAGAACCTAAGGTGACACACCATGTCCAATGGTACTTATTTAACCGAGACACTGTTTAAATATTCGATTAATTCTCTCAGAGAATTTACTCATGCAAATAACACAAAAATATCGACAGTACAAATCACCTGTTAAACAAGAATGAAATTTCAATAGAGGATACTGAATGTGACATGACGCAGAATTGTCTTATAAAACTACACAGTAGTAAAGCCATTATGCTTTAAGAGAAAAGGCAAATGATACGAAGAATTGATGCCATGACTCGTTACATACAGTTGACTAATTCCTTGGAACTGGTATACGTGTTTTTTTTTTTTTTGTTTTCTTACATTAGCTGAGCAGCACATGGTCCATGGTCCTATTCACATCTCCATGTTGTTAAAGATATACAATTGTGGCAAACGCTCACATTTTGGGCTGTCAAAGCCTTACTTCAAGGTTTCTTCATGTTGTTTTTTTTTCGTTAATAAAAAGCTTATTACATGAACTCTACTACTGCATTAAAACTATCCTTTAAAAACAATGGACATATAGGAAAGTTTACATATGCTGTATCAGTCAAGATGCCATTTACAATGTTTCCTAAAAGGTAATTTTTTGCATTGACAAACCAATTAAGTAAATAAGTGAGGAAAATATCTTCATTATCTTTAATACCTAAGATATGTATGACAGCCCTGGACAGACTCTTTTCTGTAGTGTTGTAAAAAATAAAAAAATAAAAATAAATTAAAATTCAATGTACTGAACACCCTAACATCAGGAACACAGTAATGGTGGTTTTTGTAACCCATACAACAAACAGAAACCTTAGCAATCCAGTAATAAACATTAATGGCACGTTTAGTTAAGAAGCCATTGAGGAGATGTTCGGATGACGGGGAAATAAGTACTGTAAACTACAATCGCTGCATCTGTAACAACCCAACTACATATGGAATGTAAGTCAAAGCGTTTGCTGTTCAGCACACGTTTCTAATCAAAGTCCCTTCTTAAAACTACTTCATCGACGGAGGCGTTTCCTGACGTTTCGGCAACAGTGCTCCGGAAAGGAGAAGCTGGACCACTCCTATACACAACACAACATCAGACTCAGCCCAGACCGCAACAAGACGCGTATTCAAATCTACTCCTAAAAACTGCAGATGCATAACAGGTGAGCAGTCAGACAATCTGGAGCACAACCCCTATTTTCTTCACATGTGCAAAATAGAAACAGCGTAAAAATAACGAACGGAAAAAAAAAAACATCCTCCCACGTCATTCTCATTCCAGATAGTGCGTAAAGAGAGCGACGGAAAGAGACATTTTGAACTGAGCCACACGACACACTTTGGTAGGAATGTCTCGTTAACTACGCACTGTTCAATCCATTTCGACTTGAAATGGGACACCTTACAGCATTCGAAAATTTCCAAACCAGAAGATGGAAATATTCAGTCAAATAAATACAGTAAATGTTGACCGAGGAGGAGAGCAAAAAATACAATCAGTTTGATTTTCAATCCACCAAGAAAGTGCCACTGCAGCATCTCTTATCACTTCAGGTGAGATGCATTTGGTGTTAAAGAACTGAAATACAATGTTTACCAGTAAAAAAAAAAAAAAAAAAAAAAAAAAGTAAGACAGGAATTCAGCATTTCAGCGTTCCCCAAAATGGAGGAGAAACGAGATCCCTTCTGCCTGCCAAGCACCCCGTAACTCTTCAAGCCTGTTCAATCAGCTTCCTGAGGACTGCGTTTGGGGGGGAAGTTCCACCCCCAGCTGTGACTGGGCTTCCTCTGTGCTGTGGTCTGCTGCGGGGGCGGGGCCCGGCGTAGCCAGGGTCAGGGAGGAGGAGCCAACCCCATTGGAGGTGCTGACTGAGCTGTGCTGGATGACCTCCGACTGGGGGCTGCCTGGCACTGACATGTCTTCACAGCTGTCCTCCTTCTCAGCATCTAAAATAGGAGGGGGGGGCAAAAAAGGAGGGAGGTACCACCAGGGCGGCGCTGTTTAGGCACTGCTGGGAAACCAAACTACATGCACGACAGACACAAGCCAATATTCTAACATAGCCCTGATGTGGTCGACGCCCTCCTGGCGGAGCTTGCCACCGTCCCAACTGTGCGGACCATCT